TAGGAAGATGCACAGAATTTGTGGATTGACAAAGGAATGTGATGAAAGGTTTGGATGAATTCGGGAACAATTATATTCTGGAGCGTCGCTGGTTTGACATTTATGCTTTCGAGTAGAACTCTCATGGTAAATGAGTGAAAATGGCTGCCAACAGTGTTGTTTTTGTCACTTTCAGTCAGATCTTTCGCAAGGCTATGTCTGACTGCAGGCATTTTTGAAAAGCTTAGCAAAAGCGTGTGGTAAAGGTGCGTGGTCGCTTATTTTAGATCAACAGGATCGCGATAACAATTGAGTGAATCTCCTGGAGGTTCCAAGGCACATGAGGTTTTAGCAGCACTGGTCCTTGATGTTCAGCGCTAGATTTTCATCTTATCGGAGAAAACATGTTAACAAGTTTCCTCAACACAACGGCTGAAGGTAGAATATCTTCAACCACGAGGGACCTTGTTAAGATGATGCTGCACTGTAAAGTTGTGTTGATCATCACCGGTTGAAGGTACGCCATTTTGTACATCTATAAAGGCATACAGTGTGATGCGGTGTTTACTTTTCTATGCAGCAACATAGTTCCAAGACTATACAGAAAACATTGAATGGGTAGCAAAGATTCACACCAGCACGAGGCTGAGGAATAAAGCTGTGCGTGATTAAGGTCATTTCTGGATGCCCGATTATGTGAAGTTTACCGTATTAAGTAGTTCGGAAGCCAAACGAACCATTGAATTTAGTCTAGTATGCATCCACAAACGTGGATGGGTCGACTTTCTGCTATTTCATTTTGTACTCTGATTCAACAGAAACAGTCGTTCTACCGGGCTAAATATGGTGCTAGGCCCAGCTTGAGCACGAATTACAACCGCGCCGCTGGACAGACAGGATCCGCAAGCCAGTGAGGCCACTGCAAGTGAACCCTCGGCCTCGAAGCTACGTCAACAAATTTCATGGGGGAGGTGTTAGGCGAAATTCCACACGGATCCCTCTTTACCGCTTGCAGTCAGGTGCTGCTACGGCCGAGAATTCCATCCCACACGAGATTGGCCAAAAGTTCGGGACGCTCGCCAGTTCGGCATCAGGCCCAGATCTGATTGGTTGAAAGTCTGGACCCAACAGCCAGAATTGGCCAAATACCGGTTGCCAATGACGCATCCAGAATGCGCCAGAATTTCCAGAAAGTTATTGCCGCCTATATATATATA